TTTATATGTGAAAATAAATGAGGATATTATTAGGTAGCAAATAAGAGTTAAAGACTAAAAAAATGCAAAACTAGTGCCAACAATAATATGATAACATATATATGATAATGGATGCTATGCAAGGAGATGAAATGCAATTTAAAATGGATTCTTAAATATAATGAGACTATCTTAACTTTTTAACATTTAGACAGAGCTTAGGTACGACTATTTATATTTAAGATTCCATTTTATTAGTATACTTTTATTATTAATCAGTTATTAACCCCATTATTAAAACAAATTAAGGACCCGCTTGAAAAACTTAATAGAATAAAGTTTCCTAAATACCCCATCATTTAGGCAGCATTCAAGAATAAATTACTCCACTTAAGATTTTCACATGTATCCTTAAAGTTTCGGAATGGTTTTGAGTATAGATTTAGGTCATGATTTTAAGATTTGGTGACTTTCGGGTGATGATTTGGAATTACGTACCAAATTTGGTGTTTTTAGAGTTTTGGATTTTAAGGTTTTGGACTTTAGGGCGTGGGATTTTGGATTTTAAGGTTAGGGTTTCAAGTTTCAGAGTTTGGGATTTAGGGTTTTGATTTTAAGGTTTGGGATTTGAATGTTTAAGGTCTCAAGTGTTTGGGGTTTTGATTTTAGGATTTTGATTTTAGGATTTGGGGTTTGGGATTTTGATTTTAGAGTTTCGATTGTAAGGTTTTGATTTTAAGATTTAGGGTTTAGGATTTTAGTTTTAGGTTTGAAAGATTTAGGGTTTTGACTTTAGGGTTTGAGGTTTGAGGTTTTGACTTTAGGGTTTGGGGTTTCGATTTTAAGATTTAGGGTTTAGGAGGATTTAGGATTTTAGTTTTAGGGTTTTGAGGTTTTAGGGTTTAGTTTTAGGGTTTGAAGGTTTTAAGGTTTCGATTTTAGGGTCTAAAGTTTGGGGTTTCGATTTTAGGGTTTGAAAGTTTAAGGTTTAATTTTAGGGTTTGAGATATGAGGTTTTAAGGTTTAGAATTTTGAATTTAAAATAAAAAAACATTAACATCTCTAAAAATCTCGAACATCTAAGTGGACTTTAGGAACAAGTTTGGTTTTTTATAATTTTTGAAAATTAGTAAAAAAAACCTTATATATTTTCTTTTTATAACAACTTATTATTAATAAAATTACTAATTTACTTAGTTTTTTTTTATAATAATAATTCTCTAACATCTAGGCTTAAGTATTATTATTATTTAAAACATGATTGTATTGCTTCCAACATTTAGGTAGGGAACATTTCCTTATAACTAGTTTGTTGTATAATAATAATAATAATTATTATTATTATTATTATTTATTATTATTTAACACTTAGGTTATAAAAAAAATACTAAAAGGAATTAAAAGTTTTGAAATCATTTTTATTATTATCATTGTTATTGTTATTATTATTAATTATTATCATAAAACAACAAATATTTATCCTAATAAACTCTAAAAGTTTTAAAACATGCATAGATATAAATAATAATAAAGTTAAAAATTATATAAATAATATACAAAAAATAATAAAAAAATTTTCTTGAATTAGACTGGTCAATAGTACGGTTAATGCCAGTTCGTCTGGACAGGAAAAAGGTTAGGTTTAGCAAGCAGTTTGGTTGAACTGACTGAGGAGCGGTTCAGTTGAATCGATTTAGGGCTGGTTGAAAGATAGGTCACTGGGTTAGGTCACGCTGATCCTGGGTCGAGTTTGGGTTCATGCAAAGATCTTTTTTGGCCTAAAACGACGTTGTTTTAGACTTTGGTTTTCTATATAAAACCAAAAATTTTTTTAGCTCATTTTTTTTTTCTACCAAAAAAATTTTCAAAGCTCAAAAAAGTCTCTCTAGCCTCACCAAAATCTGACACTGTGCCATCTTATCGGCCGCTATCGGCGATTGCTGTCGATGGTCGTCGATAGTTGAAAAACGCAAAAATGCTTCAAACACTTGCAATTGACCTTCTAAGCTCAAATCTGCCATTCTTTTTGCGAGAAACAGCTCCGATCAACGTAGATCAAGGCTTCAAGTTTCAGTGTTTTTTTTTTTAACTAAACTAAACTGATGATCTTTTTTGCTTGTTTGCAAGGGGGCTTTGGCGTTAAGGTTCCTCTATACGGGAAGGACTATTTGTTTGTTTTTTTTTTTTTGGTTCGTTTGTTGTAGGAGGGTAGGTTTTAGATTTTTTAGAGTGGGAGCTCGAATTTTTAGGTGTAAAAGCTGGGGTTTTACTGAGTTTGAGAATGTCCAAGAGCTAAGTTTCTTCCAAACCCTTGGGTGTGTCTGAGCTTAGTAATTAAAAGGACTGGGTGTCTGGGAAATAGGGAGTGTTGATAGGGCTACAGTGCTCTAGTGAGGGGACTAGACATGGGGTGATAGTATTAGGGCATGATGCCTAGGGCATAAGGTGTGGGTGGCCAATGGTATGGTGTACGACACCCATTAGCATCAACCTCTACCTCTTTGTTTCTTCTTTTGTTTGGATTTTTTTGTTTGTCTCTTTTTTTAAATTTTTTATTATTTTAAATTAATAAATTAATATAAAAAAAGAAATAAATAAAAGATAATAAGGCTTTGGGCTTAAAGAAGGAAATGGGGCCTGATTGAATCGAATTGGGCTTGTAGCCCAATTGAATCAAAATCGGGCCTGGATCTAAAAACCTAATACATCCAACGAATTTTAAAACGAGACTCAATTAAAATCCGAATAAATTTGGTTTCTATAATTTAATATATATATTTATTTAAATTTTAATATATATTACATAAATATATTAATTTTTAGTATCAAATTTATAATAATAAACTATTAAAGATTAAAGAATAAAATAATAATGTATAAAACTAATATTAATAGTTTATTGTATTTATATTATTAATATAAAAATAATCTTATAATAATTAATAAATGAGTATCATAATTAAATATTTAAAATAATTTTCATATGATATTAAATAATTAATAAAGTATCATAATTAAAATTTTAAAAATAAAAATAATTTATATATATTTATATTAAATTAAAATAAATATAAAAATATATTAAATATGTACTTATATGATAATATTAAATTAAATATATTATTCATATTATGTCATATATTTAAATATATAAATATATATAAAATATGAATTCTATCATATTAAAATTTATATTAACACAAATAAACATAAAATATATTTTTTAAAAATATATATTTTTTATTTAATTTTCATATTATATTATCTAATCATATCTAAAATTATCTTAACTACGAAATTCAATAAAAAATCAAAATCATTCCCTTCCGGGAACCTTTTTTCACGTGGTTTTGATGGAAACTGTAAAAAAAGAAAAGTCAGGATATTTCCCATTTTGTCAAAAAAAAAAAAAAAACACCTGAAGAAGATGTATTGTGCCACGTGGAGGCAGTTCTCAAATTTTGAGTTCGACAGGGTCGTAGGTGGCTGGTTAACGCCTGGAAAGGAAAAAGTTAATTCAATTAAAAGAGTCGTGGACAAGTCTAAGACCAGCCACCAAAATACCGGTTGTGGCTCGTGGGACACTGTTGCAACTCGTGTTCTCTTCCATATCCTCGTACACTTAGGTAGCCATTCATATTCCCTGACTGGACCCATTTCATTTAATGGGGTTTTGGCTTTGCAGATTGAGACCCCATTTCATTCTCGCCGTTTGCACCTCAGTTACACTTCATTAATAAATAAATTTTAAATAGTAAAAATCAATAAAAATAAACATAAATTTTGTGTGCAGTCGCCGTCTGCTGACCATCCAGCAGGGGTCCAAGTTTTCAAAGTTATAGAAGGTTAGCCCTGGATTAAAGGCTCAGGTGGTTTTGAAGCCTCATGGATTGTTTGCTGTGTATGTAAGGACATGAAACCTAAGGAATTGTTTGAAACGGTTTCCCAAGCTCTCCTTCATCAGTAGATCGTGTCAGTCTCAGTGGTTCGGGAGGACATGTCCATTTTGTCGCACCGATAGAAGTAAAGGAAAGAATCTTGAAGGGAAGGATGGATTGAATGCAACCAAGTGTCTTCAAGTTCATTGCCAAACCATAAAACTTTTGGTTTATTTGTCATTCGCTCGAATATGATATACTCTGATCAATTTTAAAAAAAAATGATAAATTTAAAAAAAAAAAAAAACCGAACACTTGCAAGAAACTCACTAGAAAATTTTAAAATAATTTATTGTTAAGGTTATTTTAGGATTCAAAAGGTATTTTGATCAATTTTTTTATTAGAAATTGTTAGTAAATAATCAAATATATTTTAAATTTTTAAATTGATTTGATATATGAAGTATACTTGATATGTTCATTGCTTCATCGACTTAATTACATCACATTATATCTTATATATCCCACATATTTTATCTATAAATAAAAACATGCAAGTATTATTATTTCATTCTCTTACTATTTTTAAATTTTTATTTTTTTCTCATTTCGATTTTCTTGTACTGTTTTTGACTTAGAGCGTCGTTTTCTTCTATTTTCTGTGATTTCAAGATTTAGCTCTTGAAGTCCAAACTCGGCACAAATAACCGTATATGAGATTTTGAAATCTATCAGGAAAATTTGTTTCATGGAAGAAAATTTTGAAATATGTAGAGAGTATCAAATATAAATCTAAATAATAATTATAATAATGATAAACTGAACTTGGATAAAGCACCGAGCCAGGCACAGCACGGAGTTGAGTTTTTTTTTTTTTTGCCTATAGTGGTAGTATTTCATCATGTTGCCAACTTTCCAGGTATAATTGGGAACATAGGGACAAATTACAATGGTGCGCACGTAGAGTCGTGCCAAAAATCAATAGATAAAATATAATAAATTATAATAAAATAAGAGTTTTTGGTTTCTTTGTATTGGACAAAAGGCGTCCCAGTCATTCCTGCGGTGCGTCCGTACAACTAGATGTTAATATATGTGGTGAGTGAGAAGCAGTCATTCAAGTCCAATATTCTGTTTGTGAAGAGTGAAAATATGAGTTTGAGGATGAAGCCTCCGTCTTCTTCCACATTCTTGCTCTGCTTCTTCTTCTTCGTTGTCTTCTTTTGGTGCAGCAAATCCAATGCCCAGAATGCCACCACTGACCCCTCTGAAGGTAGTCTTTCTGCCTCTCTCTCTCTCTCTCTGTCTCTGTGTCCCTTTACATTTCTTTCTTTGCAAAATCCAAAGCCATGCATCTTCAAGCATGTCAGTGTAGAAATCAGTTGTCTTTTGATGATTAATCTTTGTAAAACCCTCTTGCTTTTCTCTGCCTAGCTCTCCGACAAAAGTTACAGACAAGTTCTGTTTTTCTTTTGGAAGTGGTGGCTTTCTGTCAACATTTTATACAGTACTTAATTACTTCTAACTAATCATCTTTTAAAACATTATCTGAATCATTATATGTTTGTTATTTGAATGCGAAGCAACATTCAGACCTTTACATTGAAATTATGAGTTTGTCCATATCAATCATCCATTTTTTCTCATCCTGACAAATCCATAGATGTAGGCGTGCTTTTATTTGAAGTTCATCAAGTTAAAACTGGTTCAAAGATTGCTATTTTCAAAAGGAATCTGTCATGCACTTATATATTGGTTAAAGAAGAAAAAGCAATAGTACTAAGTAACTCATAGTTATTTAATTATGTAGAACATTTTGGCCAAAAAAAAAGATTATATAGAACAGACCCCCCTTATCTTAATGGTGCAAAAAGATGAATTGATTTTTAAATATATATATATAATTATTTAATTCCATCGGCCAGTTAAGTCTTCTTCTATTACATCATCTCATCTGGGGATTTAATGATTGATATCCATTTTTCATCGGAGTGCGCAAGCATGCTGAAAATTTTGAAGGCTTCCATTGACCTTTTTTTTTCTTTTTAATTTTTTATCTAACCAAATCCTTTATCTGCCTAATTCATAAGAGGAGGACAAAGGTGTAAATCCGTTCGAATCAGTAACTTAAAAAATATCTGTCTAAAACTAATACTTAGATGACACTTTCTTCTTTGACATGTCATCAAAGAAGTTAATACATTTGGCAATATTTAAGTTATCTCTCGTTGATCTCTTTGTCAAACATTTATTACAGGTTGTTGACAGTTTCTATAATCTTCCAAAGTTAATAATTCAATTGTGTTTCAACATTATGTTAAAAAAAAAAAAGATTCTAATTAGTGTTTTATAGATAACCCTTTCCCTCAGTCAAGCTTGAGAATTTAGAAGTGTCGTTTTCATCACCAAATGTGAATTCTTTGAACTTTTGCTTTATGAAACATCACTTTAATTGGTTCTTAATGTCAATGGAAATATTTTTCATCTTTGAAAATTCTCTAGTCTAATTAATTAAAGTGCTAATGGGTTACGCATGGGTTGAAATCTTGATATCACCTACTAAAAACGTTAACTCATAATTTTTTTTTTCTTCTTGTGATTCACAAGTTAACTACACATGAAAACCCATCTCTACTTTGTAACTGATAAGTTTATTGTGAATTGAGTTTTGGACTTTAATTATTAATTTAAGTATAATATTTATCATCCTGTTAATCTTGTTTATAAAGTTTAAAATTTTGACTGTTAGCTTGATAATTTCTATTAATCTAGATCAATTGCAAATTGTAACCTTCTATATACTTTGAAGCTGAGATATGAAAAGAAAATTAATCTTTTATATATTCACATTTATGTAAAAAGTAAATCAATTAAAAATATAAAAAATAAATATAATTTATTAGATAAAATATTTTAAAATTTAAATTTAATAAACTAAAATAATTAAATGTAAGACACATGTCAAAAAAATAAACCACATTGAATGTTTTCTTTTTCGCTAAAGTTTAGATTTTTATATATTTATGGGTTCTATATTCTTATCCATGGTTGTTTTGTTGGTAATAAATCGCCTAACATGTTTTTGCTCGGAATTATTATTAATGGGAACCAGTGAGGGCATTGAACTCAATCTTCCAACAATGGGATACACAAGCAGTGGAGTCATGGAACATCAGTGGAGAGCCATGCAGTGGACTTGCTCGCAGTCAAAGTGACTCTGTCTTTGATGATCCTTCTAATAATCCAGCTATCAGATGTGATTGTTCTTTCAACAACAACACTCTCTGCCACATCACTAGACTGTATATGCTTGCACTCTCACTCCTCTTCTTTTCCTGTTTTGCTCTACATAGTTTTAAGCCATGATTATCACAGTATAGTAACTGTTAAAATACGGCCAGTTAGGTCCAATTCCAAAGCTAGTTCATTCAATTGACTAGTAATAAGTTGAAAATGGGTTTTCAGGCAAAATTTGAGCTATGGTTCTCATATTAATAGACAGCACAGATTTCATTAGTATTTGTCAGATGATGTGGAGAGATTTGCTTCCCATGTTATGGAATCCTTTCGAATCACATTGTGTTGCAAGCAATCCTGCCACTTACTCGCTACAGTCTTGCCAGATTATGACCAGAATTGAATCAACAGCCTTTTGGGAGGTTTAATGAAGCAGGGAACTGGTGGAAGTTTTTTGAGTCCTTTTCTATATCAATTATAGTAATAGTTTACATGTTTATACACTTTTGTCAGGAGGGTATATGCTCTAGATAGGCGAGGAGTGATACCAGAGGAGCTTTTGGATTTGCCTTTTCTGACGAACTTGTAAGAATGTTCTTTGCCTTCTTTTTAATCACGTTTGATCTGTACAAACCTGCATTGATTTTTAAGATTTTCCAAATAGTTGCAGATTATTTTTCATCATAATATTTACATATCAGTAAGGTTATGTCTTTTAGTCATGGAAAATGGTTAATTATGTTCATTATAATGAGACAGTTTTACAGTAACAGTAACTGATTATAATCATTCATTGTTTGGTGATGCAGGAAGATTGATCAAAACTTCTTCTCTGGTCCTTTGCCCGCATTTATTGGAAATATGTCTAGACTAACCTTTCTGTGAGTACTGACAGATGGTCTTATAAAAGCAGTTTAATTTTTGTAGACATTAATTCTTTGAAAATTTTCAAAATCTATCTAGCTTTTTAATGGTTTTCAGGCCTTAACAACAAGTTTCCAATAACATTTTTTGGATTATTTATTTAAAAAACACTATTCATTGGATTGTTTATTTATTTTTATTTTAATTTGTGTAGGTCACTTGCCCACAATGATTTCACTGGACCCATTCCAATGGAGCTTGGAAATCTTAAGGAGCTATATTTGCTGTAAGACTTGAAGAAACTCTCAATGAGTCCTTCTCTCACCATATAAAAGCATCAAATAGTTCTGTTTTTAAGCAAACATTTCCTCTTAAATGCTATCATATTCCCATGAAAGGATAAATTAGTTGATGATGTCTTGTCAATAACGTCAATTAGTCTAGCTTTTGATTGGAATGATACTGCTGCTTGTAGTTGCAGTTGCCTTGTACATATTCTACTATTATGCTGTTGCTTTAATATCATATGGATCTAAACTAGAGGAAATCTGTTCTTCTCTTCATTAATTTTACTAATTGCATGATGATGATTTAAAATCTGAGGTATAATCAAAACAACAAAACATAAAAAGAACCACATTACAACAGAAAATTTGGTAACACTCAAATATATTTTTGAGTACACCTTATTTATACTAGATTTTCCTGTGACTCCTCAAAAGGGTTAGCTGCAAAATTTCTTGAAAGGGTTTTTTCTATTCCTTCTCTTCTATGTTAAAATTGCATGATTTGCATGTATATGCAGGTATATACATTGTATGGTATAAATCCAAATGGGATTTTTAAAGTTTTTGCAAATAATATTTTATGTGGATCTATGTCATGCAGGTCTTTTGGTATTAATAGTTTCTCTGGGACACTCCCTCCGGAACTTGGTAATTTAGTCAACCTTGAACAACTGTAAGTTCTCTGGAACATGAATGTGTTTACAGGTTTACCATATGAAATTTTAACAACATTGGTTTATGAATTTGACAGTTACATTGACAGTTCTGGATTGGGTGGTGAGATTCCCTCAACTTTTGCGAATCTTGAAAACCTGCAAATTGTGTAAGAAAGACCTAGGGATTGCAATCCTTCTATATGTTTATGGCCTTTTCTGTCTTCTCGACCTGCAAATTGCCTTACCTTATCATATTAACAGTGAGCTTATGTGAATTTTAGGTGTGCATCTGACAATGCTTTCACTGGCAAAATACCTGACTTTATTGGCAATAACTGGACAAAGCTTGCATCATTGTAAGTTATTGAAGCATCTTGGTTAATTTTCAAATAAATTCTCTCTGAATCAGCATCAAGAAGGATAGCTTTGTCTTGATTTTTCATCAGTTTGACTAATCTGTAAAATAATACAGGAGATTTGAAGGGAACTCCTTTGAAGGGCCTATACCGTCCAGTTTTGTAAACTTAACCTCATTGACGTCTTTGTGAGTAGATATATTGTTCTTCCTGATACTCCCACACACCGAAGGACTTTCTCACTTTATCTGCATGTTCATACATGTATGTATATATGTACTTGTATTTGATGCTTTTATATATTCATGCAGGCGAATTGGTGGTATTTACAATGGGAGCTCTTCTCTTGATTTTATAAGAAATCTAAAGAACTTGACTGACTTGTGAGTTAAGCATACTCTTAACTTCTTGTACTCATCTGTGGAAAAGAAAGTGAATATTTGTCTAAATTTATTGACTAACGGACTTATCTCATTCCCCTTTTTTTTTTTTTGTTTCTTTTTATTTCCTGTAGAGTACTAAGAAATGTCTTACTCACTGGTATTATGCCATCTTATATAACAGAATTACAATCTTTACAAAAGCTGTAAGTTTTATTTACAAATTAACTGCTTCAGTAATTTATGATATTCGCTTCTGGTTTATGTTTTTAATTTCTTTTCTCTTCCAGGGATTTGAGTTTCAACAACTTAACAGGCCAAATTCCTAGTGCTTTGTTCAATATGAATTCTCTTAGCTACTTGTAAGCTACAAAACGAAAACCATCCCCTTCAACGGCTGAAAATCTCATGTTATGACAGTTTTATGTTGGACTTTTGGGTCTGGCCTTGTGATGATTTTCGCTTGACATTATTCTCCTCCGTGCTATTGAAATGGCCAGGTTTCTTGGAAATAATAGTCTTTCAGGTTCAATTCCCAGCCAAAAGAGCGAAACTCTTCAGACTATGTAAGTCATCCTATCACACTAACTCATTCGTTGAATCAGTTGGGCACTATTCTGACAAGTAATGTTGTGAATTCTCATATGACGCAAAAATTTTCATGTACAGTTACTTTTAAACGTTCACTATCTGATATTCACTATAGTTGTGAAGCCATCAGTCAGCATCTTCCATCAAGTGAACCTGCATGAAATTGTAAAAGCAGTTAAATTCTCCTGATTCTGGTAATATGTTCATACTTCCTACTTACGTTCTGCTAATTTACTTATCTGTGCAGAGATTTATCGTACAATTTGCTATCAGGAAACTTGCCCTTATGGGTAAACTTAGGCTTACAACTGTATGTATCTCAAACCATGATGGCTTCCTTTACTTTTATTTTCTAATTTTAACACTTTGCTTTGACGCTTAATACTTTTTTGGTGCTCATATGGAGCTTAATTTCTTATAGTTGATATCATAATGCAAAAAGGAATCAATTGCAAATCAATGCCAATATTCAACAACTAATCTGTTAGCTCATTGTCTTAGGAGACACAGGACATATTATTAAAGACATTGATAACAGATTGTTTCATGGTATTTTATGAAGGAATTTTGCGGGCAACAACTTAACATTTAACAGCTCAAACTCAGGGTAAGTTATCGTTCCCAGCACCTAGTTTTACCCTCCTCCTATACATTTTCCCCAAGAATAAAAGTGTAAAACTTTCTGGAAAGAGTCCTTGTACGTTTATGAAACCAAACGTTCCCTATTATCTCTACCATGCAATGCATTCTTTTAAAGTTCACAATCCAGAAATTGTTTTGCAATTCCGCAGGCTTTTACCAGGATTGGAATGCCTTCAAAGAAGCTTCCCATGCAATAGAAATACTCCACGATGTAAGCTTAGCTAAAACTTTGGAATCAGCATCTGTTATTGAGGTTTTAATTATATATAGATTAATCATGACAAATGCTTAGTACTCTGTTGACATTGGCAGATGCAAACTTCTCGATCAAGTGTGGTGGCCCACAGATGATTTCTAATGAAATAGTTTTTGAGGCTGAAAACAGAACTCTTGGGGCGGCAGCATTTAATGTAACCAGTACACAGAAATGGGCAGTTAGCAATGTAGGTTTGTTTGCAGACAGACAAAATCAACAGTATGTGCAGAATACCTTGGCACAAGTGAGAAGTACCAACACTCCGGAGTTGTATCAGACTTCAAGGCTATCCCCTGGATCACTCAGATACTATGGCCTAGGCCTTGAGAATGGACCTTATAGGATAACCTTGTTCTTTGCAGAAACAGCTTTCCCAGACAGAACCACACAGTCTTGGAAGAGTCTGGGGAGGCGTGTGTTCGATGTTTATATTCAGGTAATATTTCGTTTCAAGTAGAAATTTGTACCATTCTCAGTTGCAGATCATACAATTCATGCCCTCTATTTACAGTATTTCTATGTCACAATTATGTTCACTTAATTTTACATTTAGAAATCTTACTGCTAAAATATCTCATCAATACTTCATCAGGGAACCCACCAATTAAGGGATTTTGATATATCAAAGGAGGCAGGTGGTGCTGAGAGAGCAATAACTAGGAATTTCACTGCTAATGTAACGGAGAACCATCTTGAAATTCACCTGTTTTGGGCCGGTAAGGGTACCTGCTGTACACCTGAACAAGGTTATCATGGTCCATCCATTTCAGCTATTAATGTTGTTTCAGGTAAGACACCTTAACACTTATGAATCTTAATGTAATAGAAGCTTCATGTGCGTATCATATATTTTCTGTTTCTAACACCTCTATATTGTTGCTTAGATTTCACACCGTCAGTGGGATACCACCGGGCACTAGTAAAGAGAAGAACCATACAGGATTGATTGTTGGTATTTCAGTTCCTGTTATTTTCGTGGCTTTGATACTCATATTTGCAATTATATATGTTATGAGAAGAAAAGAAGATGTTGATGAGGAAGGTAAGAGACTCAGTGTATCATAATATATATATATATATATATATATATTATACAGTTATATAGTAATAGTAGTCATTGTATATCAGAAAAAGGTGCATCTTGACATAGAAAAATGAATCATCTCCTTGATGATTTTGTGACGAAATTTGAGTCACTTTTCACTTTTCAGCTAGGCCTAGAGGTAGTGGACACTGTGTATAATAATGAAAAATGAATCATCTCATTGAAGATTTTGTGACGAAATTTGTGTCGCTTTTCACTTTTCAGCTAGGCCTAGAGGTAGTGGATACTATGTGTATAATAATCATCTACACTTTCTTGACGGTAATGGAAAATGGTTTAGTTTATTGCAATAGACAAACATAATTTTTCAAAGGCCTTAAGGGCTGTGGTCAAGGTTCAATGCAGCTGTTCTAACCTTTAGATCTCTGTTCAGTATAATTTTTTTTTGCATTTCATCCCTACAACTTACAGCCTACTAATTGCCTTACTTGACTCTGCAGTGCTTCTTGGTATTGGCCCAGACCAAACACATTTAGTTATTCTGAGTTGAAAGCCGCCACAGAAGACTTCAGTTCTTCAAATAAATTAGGAGAAGGGGGGTTCGGACCTGTATACAAGGTAAACTATTTTAGCGTGTAACTATGGTAGCAGCTTGGCATTTGATGATGAAAATTACTGGGATAGGATGATTTATTACAATGTTACTGAATTGTAGTACTACATTTTAGGGTACGCTTTCTGATGGGAGAGTTGTGGCTGTGAGGCAACTTTCAGTAGCATCACACCAAGGGAAGAATCAATTTGTTACTGAGATAGCTACCATATCAGCAGTGCAACACCGTAATCTTGTCAAACTATATGGGTGCTGCATTCAAGGAAATAGGCGCCTCCTTGTTTACGAGTATCTTGAAAACAAAAGCCTTGATCAGGCACTCTTTGGTACGAGAACATTCTATAATCTTTTCATGCTTTCCACCTTTGGAATCTGGAACCCAAGTCTTTTTCTGTTACCAAAATTATCAAAATGGATCTAACTATAATTGTACAACTTTATTTTACAAACAAAAAGTAAAAGAATGGATTTGAATGGTATGATAAACATGTGCAAGATTTATTTTCTCTTCAATCTTTTGACATGAATGCAGTATATGTGTAGTACAATTTATTCCTTTGCTGATTAATGAACATGCTTATGAGACTTCTTGCTCTATAAACAGGACATAATGACTTACATCTTGATTGGCCAACCCGCTTCAATATCTGCTTGTCAACAGCAAGAAGGCTAGCTTATCTGCATGAGGAGTCTAGGCCAAGGATTGTCCATAGAGATGTCAAGGCAAGCAATATTTTGCTTGATGCAGAGCTGTGCCCGAAGATATCTGATTTTGGATTGGCAAAGCTGTATGATGACAACAAAACTCACATCAGCACTCGGGTTGCAGGAACCATGTAAGCCTTTCGACCTCTTGTTCAGGAGTCCTTCCTTAATGTCATGCATGTGATTTCTGTACCCAAGTAGCTAGATTCAATAATCTTCACAATAAACATTATTCACCATGTAATTTAATTATCTTGAAGTGGCTACCTGGCACCAGAGTATGCAATGCGAGGGCATCTCACTGAGAAAGCTCATGTTTTCAGCTTTGGTGTTGTTGCTTTGGAGGTTCTCAGTGATAGACCAAACTCAGACAATACCTTAGAAAATTACAGAATTTATCTTCTTGAATGGGTAATGAAAAGGAAATCTTTAACCCTTTTTTGTAGAACTATTTGTTCAAGTACCTGTTAAAATTTGAAGGACTTGCTCATGGTTATTTATTTCTATTTTCTACAGTATCTCTAGACATGGAACCTGCATGAAAAAAACCAAAGCTTGAGTCTGTTGGATCCAACTTTAGTAGAGTTCGATGAAAATGAAGCTCTGCGAATGATAGGAGTGGCACTTTTATGCACTCACGCATCACCAGCAATGCGGCCATCCATGTCTCGTGTGGTGGCTATGCTTGCTGGAGATATTGAAGTGAGCAATGTTACATCAAAACCAAGTTATTTAACAGACTGGGATTTCAAGGATATAACAAGCACCTTAATGAGTGAAGAAACACAAACATCCATTGTATCCGATAGCAGCGACATCAACAAGAGTAAGAACAAGACTGTTTCAGGGACAGAACCAATTGTCTCCCCAGTAAACGTTACTGAATTAAGTGACATTATTGGAGAAGGAAGGTAAGAGTTGTTTATTCCATACTGCTACTTATACCATGTCATTATGTTGGAACACACAATTTTGGTACTTTTCTTATGCTGTTTCTTCGGCTGCCTACTTTGAAGTTCTAGAAACTATCCTTTCTGTTCATATATATAGTTATGATCTTGTAATTAATATACTTTGGCAATATTTTGAAATTCAGACCACAAAAACTTGCGGTTGTTGGAATGTAATGTATATGCCATAAATATAAGGGAACACCACTTTTCAAAGCAAAAAAAAGAAAAAATCATATTATCACTGTCATTTAAAAGTATCAAATTAATTAAGCAGGTCATGATGCGATTCGGTGTAATATAAGTCGTGTTTGATATGATTCATTATTAAATAATTAAATTGGGTCAAATACGATATATTTGAGTGCTATGTTGAGTTAAAAGTTTTTAAGTTCATGAATAAGTGTGGCACAATCTGTTAAGACCCAATGTCAATACGTGATACGTGAATTAACACGACATGATATATAAACTTAAATGTGTTGTGTCATGTTGATTCGTAATTATTATAAATTGTTATTTTAAATATACGTGGATTGTATTCATGTTATTTTTTATATTCTAATAAACTATATTTATTTTTTGATAATTTATAAAATAAAATTATATTAAATAAATTTACTTATTAAATATTTAAAATTATTGATAGATAAATTATATTTAATTAATTTACGAACCGTTCAATGCATCGATTATTTTTATTTATTTAAATTTATGTGAAAAAAAATTAACATTCCTTCAAAAGTTATCAAAATCTTCAAACTTATAACATATATATATTTTATATATAAAGATTTTGGTTTTAAAATAAAAGGATGGATTAATTGTTTGCAAAACGCATAAGAAAAAACATGAAGTTTTATCTGTTGGTTCTAATGATCTCATGCAAATTATATTTAGTCAGTATTCTAATGATTTTTAAGTACATTTTATTTATCACAAGATAATTAACATAATCAATTAGTTAAATTTATAGTACAGTTTGAGCAACCATTTATTTTTATAGATGATTAACGTTTAAATGATTCAATTAGTAATAATATACCATCAAATTATAAAACAATTTCAAAAAATACCATTAGATCAAATGCTTTTAAAATAATTTTTTCTCAAATTATCAAAAGTTTCCTTTAGAATTTTACTTATGATATATGGACCAATTGTTTAAACCTTAGTTACTTATATGTATATTACTTGGCATTGGATAGATGATGTGTGCGTGTGTTTTTCAATATTAAGATTGCAATTTCAATATTTTTATTTAATATATTTTATTATCTATTCCTGTGAATGTAGATATTTTACCAAATCATGTAAATTATATGTCTTTTTTATTTTATTATGTGTTTATTTATCTCTCGTATATTATTTTTAATAATAATAGATGAATTTTTTAAAATAATTAAAATTTAAAAAATATTAATGGATTGTATTTAATCCAACTCAATACGAAAATTAATGTTATATTCGATACAACACAACCCATGATAATTATAAGTTATGTGCCATGCAAGATCATATTCTAACCTTTATAGGTTGTGTCGACAAGTTAAAAAATAATACTAAACTTACACCATTCATTAACATATAAGCTAATATTTAAATGGGAATATGGACTATTTGCACCTTATCTTTTACTCAATACACCCATTGTTTTTAACATCCCATTATTTACTCAACACACTCAAAACTCAAATTTATCTAAAACTCAAACACCCCGTCTCCTTTCCCTCACACCTCAAACCTAAACCTTAAACCATAAACCTAAAATTTGAAGCCCCAACTCAAGCCAAATTTTATTCATTTGAAATTGGAAAGTATAAAATCAAAGGTAAATTGTTTGTTCTTTTTGCTTTATCATTTGATTTGGTGTTTATTTTGTATGTTTTTTAATGTTGAAATGTTTGGGTTTAGGATTTCGAAACTTTCAAAAATGAATTTTTGAAAGTTTTTAAATATTTTCAAAAATTTATATCCGAAAGATTTTAAGAGTTTTCAAAAATCTATTGTCGAAAGTTTTTTAATATTTCTGAAAATAGATGTCAGGAAGCTTTTGAGAACTTTCGACAATCAATTCATTTATAGAAGTTCTCAAAGGCTTCTGGACATTTATTTTGAAAAACTTTTAAAAACTTCTGATAGTAGATTTTTGTTACATTGAAGAAGTTTTCCATAAAAACTGCCAAGCAAATGTAATGATATCTAATTTAACATAGTTTCCTTACTCATGCAAATCCATGTCCCAAGAATTGTTCATTGTAGGTGACTACAACTTCTTCACATGATCACTAGTGTTGGTGGTTCCTTGAAGTCTGGTACTGCTTTGTCTAAGAGGAGAAGTTGATGCCTATTGGAAGTGGATAAAGTAGTGAAATGGAGCTTGTCCAAACTAGTGTTATTTTCTGGAGACTAGCTCCATTCTGCTACTTCATCCACTTCCATTAGGTCATCAACTTCTTATCCTAGACAAGCAGAATTGGTTTCACCATTAACACAAGTGACCGTGTGCAGAAAGTTGTAAACATCCATTCCACCCATTTTCGGGGTTTTCGTGGCACTAATGATGAACCAGGTAAATCACTTCAAGAATTGTGTTCTAGTGTTTGCTAATGGTATGAATGAGGGGAAATGGGGGTGATTTGATGTGTATGGGACTGAATGCAAATGTCATTGCTTTAAAATGTAGGATGTTACTAAGGTGCTTATTTAAAGTGGTTGGTATTAAAAATTTGTCAATTGTCATTGCTTCCAACTTTTCTGAAAAAAAAATAATAATAATAAAGAGGTTTTAAACTTCTTGTATTGTATATTGAGATTTGAGAATAAGGCATTTGTTGTTGGGTTTGGAGTCTTTTTGGGAAAGGAAAAGGAGTGCAGGACTCTAGGCGAGAAACAATTTCACAAGATAAGGTAAATGAGGAGGTGTTCAGCAGAGGTTCCTAAATGCATTTAATAGTTTGTAACATGGTTTCAATATAGAATATATCTTTCCATGCAAACTAATTCACTAACTTTTTCTTTTGCTTCCCACCCACCTAGTGGTTCCAATTATCCCCTGAAACTTCTTAATTTGTTGTATCGCTTTTCAATTATATTGTTTCAATACATAGTTGGTGTTGAATTGAGTGGTTTTTAATCCATATAATGGATTGTTTGTTGACTGTTATGTGTGTTTTGCTTTTGGGATTTGGTGTTTGTGTTTTGGAGGGAATAGTGAGAGGTTTGAAGGGCTTATGGATGATGATGGGTGTGTGGTTGTGCTATGGACAGGGAGGAGGCATCAACAATTAATGTGTTGGTTAAAGTGGTGTTTTTGCTGAGTAAGTGTTGATAAACATAAGTTTGAACATGAGTTCAGAAAACAAGAGCCGAAAGTGGAGGAAGAGCCGGAGCCTCATGGATTGTAAGATCTGATTTGATCTCTTTTTTTTTTTACCATAATACACCTTATAGGAGGGAGTCTCGTCGGGGTTTAAGGTTTTCTATTTTTCAATCATTTGGTTATTTTTCTTTCCTCAACTAGTTAAGTGGCCTGAGGAAAAAAGTGTTAATGTATTGTTTTGAAAAAAATTTCTCTCCTCCTCATAATTGTGATGTAAATCGTTAAAGAATAATGAATGTCCTAACTCTGTGGAGGAAAGTACATGGATCTGCATGTCATTTTCAATTTGAGCTACTTGTCCGGAAATTTACTTGGTTGATTTCACAAAAAAAGGAACTCATGTTTCTCAGGTGTTTTAAGTAATGATGGTTAAGTGAAAATAATTTGGCTCTAGATAATTTGTCCCTAGTTTCACACCGAATAGGAACCGATAACATGGTTATTTCCTATAATATGATTATAACAATAAAAAAGCAATATTTCCTAATAATAAGAAAATCACTATCAGTAATGTTAAAAGTGTTATATAAAAAAAAAAATACTTAAATACTATCTAACAATTTCATTTTACACAAACCTAAATGAACTAACAGAGAGAACTGCTTCCAGGAGTTGAATCAAGAATTGATTTACTTTCGAAAATCAAACAAAATCATAATTTTGGAAAAAAATTACTTCATAAAATATATTTTCAGATCATTGTATTATTATTTAAAAATGAATCTTTGGTATATTAAAAAAAATTTTGAAAATAAATTTTCAATAACTTTTGATCACTTTCAGAAATAAATTTTTGGTAAATAATTTATTTTTTTATTAGAAATGAATTTTTGAAACTTATTTAACCATTTCGGATATGCATTTTTTATTATTTTTACATTCTTCCTTAAATTTATTTTTCATAAAGTTTATCCAAAAAAGAAAAAGTAAAAAGTTATGAATAACAAAAAAAATAATAATTAACGAGTATTTAAATAATTTTTTTAGAAGCTAAAATTTTTTAGATGTAATAGAAAAAATTGAGCTACAAATAATCCTCTCTTAAATGAGTTGTCATTTTGTTTCGTGACATTCAACTTTATGTATCCTAAAGATTGGCCATCAAAATAGCCGGTCTTGGGACATTGGCGACGAATATTCTTTGGTGTGTTAATCTCGAATATGCTAGGTAGCCTAGCCTACCCATTTCCCTTTTTTAATAGCTCTCAAACTGTGACTTTTCCAACTTGAGGTACTGACTTTTCCAACATCTGTTTTTGTCTTGTGGATAAATTTTTTTGTAAAATACTCTCTCTTGACTAACAATGCGGTTTTTGCCTTTTGTCTTGCATAAACGACATGGCAGTTTACTAGAAAAATATACAAATTTGGCATGTGAAATTACAAACTAAAGTCGGATTGGGATGGGAACTTTTGTACAAGATTGGCTCCCATAATTGAAAACTTGTTTTTTTTTTGCAGAAAAAGGAAAAGATTCGTGAATTAGGCAGACAAAATATGGAAGTTTTATTGGCAAGTGGCATGGTGGATGTATTATATATGGAAGGTGGGCAAGCCATGCCAGCCAAATCTGGTGGCGATTTTAAGTGGAAGGTTCAAGTCACCCAAATCTGGCGGCTTGATTGACTTTCCAGTCCATATAATCCACCATCCAACTTGCAGAAACTACTTGCATGGTTTAAGAAAGGGACTTCTAAATATACCATAAAATTTTTTTTATATATTTTATAAATTTTTTTAAAAAGAATCTACACATCAAATGCTAAATTTAATTTTTAATAAATGATAAAAATATCCTTATACTCTTATACACTCTATATCTCCTTCTTTCTTTCTTTTTTCCTTTTTTTTTCCATTTTTTTCATATATATTAAACCCTAAAATTTTAAAACTAAAACTAAAAATTTAAAATCGAGCATCTCAAAAATAAAATTTTAAAAAATTTTAAGACCTTTTGAAAGTAAATTTTCAAACAACTTAAAAACTTTTCAAAAATGAATTTTTTAAAAATCTTTAAGTTTTTAGATTTTTGAAAAACTTTAAACCCTATCACAAATGGATATATAAGAAGTTTTAGGATTTCTTAAAAATAAATTTCTAAAAAACTCAAAGGTTTTTTAAAAATGAATTTTTGAAAAAAATTTAAGTTTTTAGATTTTTAATTAATTTTAAAACTTCTCAAAAATTTATTTTCAAAAAACCTTTAAACTTTTCGAAAATTCATTTTTGTTAGTTTGATTTCACTTAAATTTTATCATAAACCCTAATTTATACTCACATGTATTTTAACTAAATTTTAACCAAATCAATAGAAAATAACTTAAAATTTTTATTTTTAATCAATGTAAAACTCAAAAACATAGGTGATTTGAGATAAATTTGATGAATTTAGGATTTTTTTTTATTGAAAATGAAGAGAGAAAAGAGATTGAAAGAATGAAAAGGTAGAAAATGAAAATAAAAAAAATGAGATATACGATGTATTTAATAACAATAAAAAATTTAAATTTAAAGTATATTTAATAATAAAATGTATGAAACAAAAATAAGATGTAAATACAATTGCCCTTTACAGAAACCACTTTCCTGGTTTTCTCGGAAAAATTGCTCGGTCAATTGAAATTAATTTTGGGTCAACAAAAAAAATACTAAAAAAGAGATGCACAAGTTGTCTGTCGTTTCAAAAGCGGAAGACACTCTATTCAAGAAGACTGAAGACCCACGAGCAACCCCCCCATCTTTATCATTCCTTCCCTAGTTCTTCCACCTTCATTCATCTCTTTCTTTTTGTTCTTCATAACTCAAGCCATGATTCTTCATCTCTTTCTTTTTGTTGTTTAATCTTCTCTCAGAATTTTCACAAATAATTTATTTACTCCCAAAAAACCATCAAAACTTTGAATCAACCGCCACCATTTTTAATCCTACTTCTCCTCTTTGTTTTCCTTCATCTTGCATTATTTTGTTTTCGGTTGAAACAAACAAGGAAAATATTTTATTTGAAGTCTTCTAAACAAGACAAAATTATTTCTTTTTTGAATAGTATCTTTTAGAAAATTTTTTAATTTTTAGAAGTTGTTTTCATAGTTACCAAACGTGAATAATCCATCTTGAAAGCAATATCTAGCACTGAATATATGAATAGGTGAATTTGGATAATGCTTCAAAGCGTGGGTCAGGACCTTGAGAACGCATTTGTCCCTTGGAGTTTGGGTTCTTATTGCCCTGAGTTTTGCAAATCTCAAGAGGCCTCGGTGCCCCCACCAACACAGCAAGAAGTTACTAACAAGAAGTTCATATATTTGTGTATATTTGACCATGTAGCTCCCTCCTAGTAGTTGCTTTCAGATACAGAGTGCAAGGCTAGATGTTAAAAGTTGGCCACCAACTGCACTTTTATATACACACACAAACAGATTCCCAATAATTCTATAGGTGAAAGAAAAGAAGAAAGATGATTTTGAGTGCGAAGCCGCCATCTTCTTCCAAATGCTTCTTCTTCTTCTTCTTCATCATCATCATTTTCTTTATTGCCTGCTCCAAATATTCCAATGCTCAGACTCAGAATGCTACCACCGATCCATCTGAAGGTAGTCTCTCCCTTTCTCTCTTCCTGATCTGTATCTCTGCACATTTATCTTAGCAAAATCTCAGATTAATTTGCTTTGTCCATCTTCAAGCATGAAGTGAAAAAAAGAAATTAAGAAACAAAAGAACATCTTCATCCAAATTGAAATCTATATTAGAAATCTAGTGAAACTATCCATGCTATTTATGCTGGGATGCATCAATCCAAATCATTAACAAACTCAACAATCAACATATTTCTCTACACTACACCCAGTCCCATTGTTTGTTGGGTTTATGCTTGGCTTTCAGGCTGCTACTGCATGCTCTGCTGTTACAATCCATGCTTGCTGTTACTTGTAATTAACTTAGTTATTTTTGAAAAAAAAAAAGAAAAAAAAAAAACTATCACGATTAATAGCACCTATATTTTTTTTATCATTTAATTGTTTGAATTGCTAGCTGGGTTTATAAGATGGAAAGTTTTACTTTCTATTCATATAATTCAAGTTTAATGGGTTTTCTCATGTACTAAAAAAAAACTTAATATTTAATTAATTGATTTATACAATAATTTTTAATCAATAATATTCAACAAGTTTAATTCAAATTTTAACAATTGTAAATTTTTTTTTTTATTCCTATATGGTCTTCTATAAAACAAAAAAAAAAAAAAAACAAAAGAAAGAAATGTGTAATTAGAATGTAATTAGGACATTTTTTAAATTCTTTATGTAAGAAAAAAATGAAAAATAGAATAAGACAGTCAAAATATGATAATTCTTGCCATATTTTTTTATGTAAAAATTTATTTTTTACTTTAATTAATAAAAGATTTGTACTATTTTCTTGAGCTTCAATGGTCATGTTTTAATTATAACCTTTTGCAATTCCATTTTTTCATGTGTCAATGCGTTATTATCTTCTTTAATTTTCTATGCCTATATGTATATATTTATATATATGACAATGTTTACAGCATTTCTTTTTGGTTAGTCAATTGTTTAAAATATAGTTTCTACATTATTAATTTAATTTAAATTTGTTATATTAACTTTGATTTTAAATGAAAATTTGAAAGATACAAAATTCATATTGATATATCTATAATCTTAGACAAAGGGTAAATTAATAATTCTTGCATTTTCTAAAACTACAACCCAATTATTTTTTCTCTTGATTCTCCTTGAAGACTTCAAAATTTCATTTTGTATGAAAAAGATCGCAATTTAAAAATAAAAAAAAATTATAAATATTAAGATTTGAAATTTAAATATGTTGAATACTATTTGTTAAAATAAAATTACATGAATTAATTAAGTTAAATTTCGGATTCAAACTTAAACATTTTGAACATGTCCTATTTCTTCTACATGGTCAATCAAAAGGTCATATAGACACACACATAGGCACTAAATAATTATGGGAAAAAATTAAAATTATTTTTGATAAACTCATCAATTGATCACATGTTTGACTAATATATTTAAAAGTCATGAAATGATTATTATAAATATATTGCTTATGATTTGTTAATTTTCTTGGACTTCTTAATTAACCATATTATATATAATTTTTTTGGAAAAGCTTAATTAATTTATAGTGTATATAATATATTTTGATAACATGTAGCATATAGTAGCATATTAATCTTTTGCTCATTGATGATTATATATATGTATGAAGTGAGGGCATTGAACTCAATATTCCAACAATGGGGAACACAAGCGTCGGAGACATGGAACATCAGTGGAGAGCCATGCAGCGGACTTGCTCTTAGTCAAAGTGATTCTGTGTTCGAGGATTCTGCTAACAACCCATCTATCAGATGTGACTGTTCTTTTGAAAATTCCACCGTCTGCCACATTACTAGATTGTATATCCCGATAAACAATCATAATCATGCAGAAATATACTTGGATTCATCCTTTATGTAATTAATAATATGTTACTGCTTTCAGGAGGGTATATTCTCTAGAAACACGAGGACAGATACCAGAGGAGCTTTTAGCTTTGAAATATCTCAACTTCTTGTATGAGCAATATTAATCTGATCTCTCTTCTCCTCAATCCTCATGCATGCAGATACAATTCATTTTTATATATAAACCGACTTTTTTAATTTGGTGATGCTGCAGGAAGATTGATCAGAACTTCTTCACTGGTCCTTTGCCAGCATTTATTGGAAATATGTCTAGACTAGGCTTACTGTGAGTACTGAAATATGATTGTCTCCTAAAATAAAAACGTTTCATCATCACTTGATATTATTCTGAGAATGGCAATTGTGCTCATTTGAATAGTAACATGCTACAGATTTAAGCTAGTGTAATTGGTTGCCAGGTCAGTTGCCCAGAATTCATTATCTGGATCCATTCCAAAGGAGATTGGAAATCTTAAGGATCTCTATCTGCTGTAAGACTTGAACAAATTCTCCGTAATGGAACATGAATCATCATCTTCTTCATGAAGCATATATATATATACTATAGTTCTATTATATATGTCATGCAGGTCTCTTGGTATTAATAATTTCTCTGGGACGATCCCTCCTGAGCTGGGAAATCTAGTGGAACTTCAACAAATGTAAGTTGTAACTTTCTCTCTATTTAGTTTTTACGCATGTAATTAAGTATTGCATTAATATGTTTGTCATTTGAAAGTAAGACAACTTTGGTTTATGATTGTTGTTGACAGTTACATTAACAGTTGTGGATTGAGCGGTGAAATCCCCTCAACATTTGCAAACCTTCGAAATTTGCAAATTGTGTAAGAAGGGTTCATGGTTTTTGTTTCTTCTGATCCTGGAAATTGCCTTAGCTTATCTTGGCTTGTTGAATTTCAGGGGGGCATCAGACAACGCTTTCACTGGCAAAATACCTGACTTTATAGGAAATAACTGGACAACGCTTGCATCATTGTTAGTTTTCAGAACATTTCTTTTAAAAAAAATAAAAGAAAAATAGCCCTGACTAGCTTCTGCTATTTTCTTTACTAGTCTGTCAAATGTTTCTGCAGGAGACTTGAAGGGAACTCCTTTGACGGTCCTATACCATCCAGTATTGCAAACTTAACCTCACTGACAATTCTGTTAGTAAATATTTTGTTTTTGATCCCACCCTCCAAGACCCCATCCCAAGGCCCTCTTTCTCTAACATACTACACATGAATGCATGCTGATATATATATATATATAATATATATGAATGTGTAATTTGATCACTTGTGTACAATCATGCAGGCGAATTACCGGTATATACAATGGGAGCTCGTCTCTTGATTTTGTTAGAAATTTGAAGAACTTAACAGAGTTGTGAGTTAAAACATAACATCTTGGTCTCATCTGTAACTTTTTTTTTTCTTTAATTTTTCACGCTTTTACCTAAATTTATTGACTAACAAGCATTTTCTTTTTCTATCTTTTTTCCTGTAGAGTTCTAAGAAATGTTTTACTCACTGGTAGCATTCCCTCTGACATCGCAGAATTACAATCTTTACAAAAGCTGTAAGTTTTATTCACAAATTAACTGCTAGTACTGTAAACTAACAAGTTTTCTTCTGCTTTATTTCTTACTATTAATTTCTTTTCTTATCCAGGGATTTGAGTTTCAACAACTTAACAGGCCAAATTCCAAGTGAATTGTTCAATATGAATTCTCTTAAATACTTGTAAATTCGAAGAACCCATCTCCTTTAATACTCAAAAATCTCTTCTGTCAGGTTTCTCTTTACCATTTGTGTCTGGCCTTATGATCTTCGGTTGACAATGTTCTGTCTGTTGTTTCTTATTTTCATGATGTTGAAATGGACAGGTTTCTTGGAAATAATAGTCTGTCAGGTACCCTTTCGAGCCAAAAGAGCGAAATTCTTCAGAATATGTAAGTCATCATATCACACTAATGTATTAGTTGACAGCAATTATTATGATGAGTGATGCTTTGAATTTTCACTCTATGAATCACTTTGAAATCACTTTGAATCCCAATCAAAGTTACCTCTGCCCGGTAAATATCTATAGTTGTAAAGCCATCAGTCAGCATCTAGTGAACAGAAGCAGTTGAGTCCTGGTAATGTGTTCCTACTCACTTTTTACTACTGTACTTCTCTGATGCAGAGATGTATCTTACAATAATCTATCAGGAAATTTGCCCTCATGGATAGACTCAGGCTTACAACTGTATGTCTCTTAATTCTTAATCCATGGCACTTCCTTATCTTTGATTTCCAATTTTAATACTTTGCTTTAAGCATGAGTCTTTCTGGTGCTCAAATAGAGCTTATTTTCTTATAATCACCGTGAATGTTGATGTAAATATGAATATAGAAAACATTGAATGTGTCAAACAGTCCCATATTTGAGGGCCTGTATACGTGTGGGATTAAGAGAATAAGAGATTGTTTCATGGAATTCAATGCAGGAATGTAGTGGCCAACAACTTCACACTCAACAGCTCAGACATAAGGTGAGATATTGCACCTAGCATCCTCAGTTTTGCCCTTTTCCTTTCCATCTTTTCCCCATGAGTAAATGGCTGCTATCGGTTCTGCTCTGCAATGCATTATTTTCAAATGTCAAATCCAGATGAACAATAAGTATTTTCAAATTCCACAGACTTTTACCGGGATTGCAATGCCTTCAAAGAGGCTTCCCGTGCAATAGAAATGCTCCACGATGTAAGTTAGCTAGAAGTTTGGTATCAGTGTACATTGTTGAGGTTTGAATTATATATAGAATCATAGCGAGATAATGAAAACTGCTTTGAATGTTGGCATGGCAGATGCAAACTTTGCAATCAAGTGTGGTGGTCCACAGATGACTGCTGATGGAATAATATTTGAGGCTGAGAACAATTCTCTGGGAGCAGCAGCATTTAATATAACCAGTACACAGAAATGGGCAGTTAGCAATGTAGGTTTGTATGAAGACAGGGAGAATCCACTGTATGTGCAAAACACTTTTGCACAAGTGAAAGGCACCAACACTCCAGCGCTTTATCATACTTCAAGGATATCCCCTGTATCACTCAGATACTATGGCCTAGGCCTGGAGAATGGGCCTTATACTGTAAACTTGTTCTTTGCGGAAACAGCTTTTCCAGTCAGAAGCACTCAGTCTTGGAAGAGCGTAGGAAGGCGCGTTTTTGATATTTATATTCAGGTAATGTTTCCTATTGAAATTCAAATCATTCTCAGTTGCAGATCATAAACTTCATTGTTTCCATTTGCAGTGTTTCTGTGAATACAATTATGTTCATTTAATTTTAATGCTTATGCCTATATCTCATCACCACTTCCCCAGGGAGCCCTACAAGTGAAGGATTTCGATATATCAAAGGAGGCAGGCGGGGCTGAGAGAGCAATTACTAGAAACTTCAGTGCTAATGTGACAGAGAACCATCTTGAAATTCACCTGCTTTGGACTGGTAAAGGGACCTGCTGTGTACCAGAACTAGGTTATTATGGTCCATCCATTTCAGCTATTAGTGTTGTCCCAGGTAAGAATGTTGGCACACATGAATCCTTCTTCATGATTCTTCCAATGTGCTTATCTTTTGTTTGCTGTTCCTGATACCTCTATTTTGTTGCTCAGACTTTATACCAACTGTTAGTGGGTTACCACCGGGCACTTCTAAAAGGAAAAACCGGACAGCACTGGTTGTTGGTCTTGTAGTTCCTGTTGTAGTTGTGGCTTTGATGCTGATCTTTGTAATTATTCACTTCAAGAGAAGAATAGAATATGATGATGACGAAGGTAAGAGCATCAGTAAATCACAAGTCTCCATTCTAGGTTATATGCAGCTTTTCTCACCTTTAGATCTCTGTTCAGTATCAATTTTTGAAAAGGCATAAGTTTGTTTCTTTAGAAAAGGCCTTCTGCCTTTAAATTTGGGATGCTTATGCAATGCTTGCACCATTATATCAAATAATGGTAATCTTAGAAAAAGTTTTTTGCATTTCATCACTACAACTTACGGCCTACTACCTGCCTTACTTGACTCTGCAGTGCTCCTAGCAATTGGTCCTAGACCAAACACTTTTAGTTATGCTGAGTTGAAAGCCGCCACAGAAGACTTCAGCCCTTCAAACAAGTTAGGAGAAGGGGGATTTGGAGCCGTCTACAAGGTAAACTATGTTTTACATTTGTAGCGTGGTAATCATGATGCTGGCATGACATATAATGAAAGTTTTTGAGAGGATGACTTGTATTTCAACATTACTGAGCCAGAGTACCTTATAGGGCACACTTCCTGATGGGAGGGTAGTAGCTGTGAAGCAACTTTCAGTAGCATCTCACCAAGGAAAGAGTCAATTTATTGCTGAGGTAGCTACCATATCAGCAGTACAACATCGCAATCTTGTAAAACTATATGGGTGCTGCATCGAAGGGAAAAGGCATCTCCTTGTGTACGAGTATCTTGAAAACAAAAGCCTTGATCAGGCTCTCTTTGGTATGATGACAATGTATAAAAGTCTGGACCTTGGAACCATAGATAGCAGATTCTCTTAACTTAAAAAATTACCAAAATGGATCTAACTTATTATTTTACAACGGGCTATTGCTGAAAAAAAAAAAAAAAAACTATTACACAGAAGATGGATTTGAATGATCATATGATAAACAAGTGCAAGATTTATTTTCCCTTCTGAAGCCTTTGGCAGGCAGGAAAATGCGTTTATGCGGAAGCCAAATTATTCCATTGTTGATTACTTATTAATGAACAACTTAATAAGTTTTCTGGCACTATATATGCAGGACGCAGTGACTTGCATCTTGATTGGCCAACCCGCTTCAATATCTGCTTGGCAACTGCAAGAGGGTTAGCTTATCTTCACGAGGAGTCTAGGCCAAGGATTGTGCACAGAGATGTTAAGGCCAGTAATATTTTGCTTGATGCAGAACTGTGCCCAAAAATATCTGATTTTGGATTGGCAAAGCTATATGATGACAAAAAAACGCACATCAGCACTCGGGTTGCAGGAACCATGTAAGCCTCTTCAGCCTTTAGTTCAGGAGTCCTTCCTTAATGGCTTACTTGTTTATCATTATATATAATCTTCTTATATACTGACCACACTTATTAATGCAATTGAAGTGGTTACCTGGCGCCAGAGTATGCAATGCGGGGGCATCTCACTGAGAAAGCTGATGTTTTTGGCTTTGGTATTGTTGCTTTGGAGATTCTCAGTGGTAGACCAAACTCTGATACTACTTTGGATGGTAACAAAATCTATCTTCTCGAATGGGTAAGTACTAGGAAATCCTTTTCTTTTCTAGTACTCGTTGTTTTATTGCCTTCTAAAGGACATATAATTCCTGATACATGAGATATTTTTTTCTACAATGTTTCCAGGCATGGGCTCTATATGAAAATAACCAATGCTTGGATCTAGTTGATCCAGGTTTAGTGGAGTTTGATGAAAATGAAGCTCTCCGAGTGATAGGAGTGGCACTTTTGTGCACCCAGGGATCACCATCGATGCGGCCTCCCATGTCCCGTGTAGTTGCTATGCTTGCTGGAGACATTGAAGCGAGCGGTGTTATAACAAAACCAAGTTATCTAACTGACTGGAATTTTGAGGATTTAACCGGCAGCTTTGTGACAGAAGATACACAAACATCCACTGCATCTGAGACAATGACAACAATAATCAGAACAAGATGAATCCAGGGGCAGCACCAATTCCCTCTCCAGTAAATGTCACTGAATTCAGTGACATTATTGACGGAAGGTGAGAGGTGTATATATGTGTTGCACCATTATTTTGGATTTCAAACGACTAAGACTTACTGCAGTTTCTACTATTGATGTATGCTAAAACTATAAGGGAATACATTTCTAAGTAGAAATGAAATTTTTGAATGGTGCATACCCCTGATAGGTAGTACATTATGTAGAACGCCTGCAAGAGCATCGACGACAATCACCTTGTCAACCTTCCTGGAAGAAGAAACCATTGTAATTATTTCTTTTTACAAAGAAGGCTGCAGTCTTTGGATAAGAGATGGGTTGCATGTGGTAAAATTTAAATTTCAGACCTGTTAAATGTCATCTTTTAAGATAATTGCATGAATCAATTGAGTTAAATTCTGGTTCTTATAATTAATTCTTTGAATAATACTTTTTTTAGTTGGAATTTGCTATGAATTTCAGTAAAGTCATTATCAGGAATATTTGCTATCTAGGATCAATTTCTTCCTGGTATACTTGGCTGCAAAAGTACTAGAGTGTAAAACCGAACTCTGTTTTTGCGTGTGCGTGTGTGTGTGTGTGTGTGCAAAACATGCATTAATTTGTTAAAATAATTAAGCAAGTTGTTTGGCAGGTGGGCAAAGTATTATTGGCCCATTTTCCTTTAACTTAAGGAAGGGGCAGGGAAGCAATAGCAGAATAGAAAATAATCAAATGACTAAATGAAAACACACATCAAAAGGAATTCAGAACGTGATAAAGATTTTGGAAGGAAAAACTAGAAAATTAAGCCCACTTGATTTTAGTTGACATTTGACAGGGCAAAAGTCAAACCCAAAACTTCATATTTAGAGTTTAGAGAACATGCATAGAAATTCTTCCTGGAATAGTTTTTTCAATATGCTTAGTTGTAAGAACTTTGAAAGAAAAAGGTCAACTGGATGCAATTTTCTTTGAGCACACAGTTCCTCGTAAATAGACATACATGATTTAAGACCAAAGACACAATTAGTCCCTCTGTGTTTGGTCTCTCTTTCTAATTGATGAGTGTCATAACATATAAATTCGAAGTTAGACTTAATAAAATGGATAGAGTCATTACCAATCTTTTTAATTTAAGTGTGATTAGCTACATAAAGAATTTATCCTTTTAAAGAACTCCTAAGTTTGACGAAGGGTCTTTAAAAGAATAGGCTTAGATCTACAAACTAAAACAAAGTTAGGGAGTTCGGTTACATGTGAGAAAGATTATAGCATCCCTACATATCTATCCAAATGATGGTACCATTTTATTTTAAATTTATCTTAAGGTTATGGTTCTAATGGTTTTAAATTTATATGTGTAAATATTGAAAATAATTCTTAAAATTCTTTATCAATTTGATAGAATTCTTAAAAACATTTTCTTACCTCAAGAGTATTCAAGAATCACATTTGATTACTTGAAAAGGCTCCGTCGTCGGAAAAAAGTTTAGTTATTTTTTTATTTTTTATTTTTTGTTGAAAATATATCTAATCATTCCATCATTTTTGGTCATATTAAAAAAAAATTTTAATTTCTAAATTTGTCACCATTTGGGCCTATTTAGATATTTTTTTACTTTTTTTTTGGAAAAAAATAATATGACAATTATTTTTCTTGAAATTTCATTTAAATTCTTCCACTATTTAGGATAAATTTAAAGAAATTTCTCACCTAGAGATTTCTTAGAAGATTTACCATTTGAAATTTCTAAAAATCTCATCTTTGGATAATTATCAAATATTTTCAACCAAAATTTTTTATTTGAAAAAGAATATAATTACTTTTATTAAAATTTCATCTAAATTATTCCACAATTTGGGACAAATTTATAAAAAATTTCTTACTTAGAGATTTTTAGAAATTTATCATTTGAAATTTCTAAGAATCTCATCCTTGGATAACTTACATTAAATTCCAAATTTTTTTTTCTTTTTATGCTTTTTTATAATTTTTTTTGTTTGAAAATAAATATTAATTATTGTTATTGAAACTTTATCTAAATCATTTCACCATTTCGGACAAATTTAAATAAAATTTTTCACCTAAAAATTTTATAAAAATTTACCATTTAAAATTTCTATAAATTTCACATTAGATAATTAATATTTATTCTCAAAATTTTTATTTTTTCTATTTTTTATTTTTTTATTTGTTTTCTAAATTTAATCATGCAAAAATACTAAAAAATAAACACATAAAAATAAATAAAAAATACCCAAAAAATAAAAAAATGGCTCAGCTTGTGGCTGTGAAACGACTTGATTTCAAAAATAAAATGTGGCTCGAAGGTGCGGCTTGGGGCCTGACTCGGCTTAGCTCAACTGTAGAAATAGGCTGGGCTACAGGTCGCAGAAGTGGGTTGAGGCGTGGGTCGGGTTGCCTACTAGAAAATGCGTGGATCCTAGGATTTATTTAGACGTCGAAACGACATTGTTTTGGGACGATATAAAAAGCAAAAAATTCTGTTTTTCCCTTCAGATTTGCCCTCCCATTCTCTTTCCTCATCTTTTTTCCTCTCTTCTTCTTTCTTCTAACCCAGAAATTCGATTGAATATCTTATCGAAAACTGAGAAACAGTGCCGAAAATTGGAAACTATAGTAAAAAATTTCAAGTTTGGCCGAAAATTTTACCAAAATATGGATTTTTTCAAAAAATTTCCAAAAAAAATTGCCAAAAATTTTGAAGAAATTTCTAAAAATTCTAAAATTGCTTTGCTCTTCTAAACATCCTTTTTTTCTTTTCTTTTTTTTTTTTGTGTTTTGTGTGTCTCCCTTCTATGTGTTCAAGCCTATATTTATAGGTATTGATTAGAATAGTTTTCTTATCAATGCTAATTTTTTCTTTGACTAGGATTCATGATCAATCATTAAGTCTAATTCCAACCCTACCAACCCTCAGATTCATGGAAAAATCTTTTCTTTTTTTTATAATTTTAATCAGTATCTCTTAAAATAATAATTATAAAAAGATAAATAATTAAAATAAAATTCAAAATAATGAATAACAAATAAACCAATAAAAAAATAGGCCAATTTGCCCCATTTGGACTAGGCTTAATTGCTCTAGGCTTGGACCAAATTAGGTATTTATAGTTGTCCCTCTTTGCGCATTTCTTATGTAACAAGAATTGCACAAAGATGTAGACACCCTGCACGTGATCATCCCAACATATTCACATTTTTTTATTGAAAAAGTAAACAAAGATCCTCTAACAGAAGCTCAACAACTTTGAAAAATAAAATGCTCCTTTAAACAGAGGCACCATAACTTTAAAAAATAAATTGCTCATTTAAACAGAGGCACTACAAGTTTGAAAAATAAATTACTCCTCCAAACAAAGGCACCATAACTTTGAGGCAACAAAATGCTCCTCTAAACAGATGTGTCATAAATCGTGTCTAAAGGAATTTGTAACGAAAACTTAAAGATTCATAATTTGAGTTCAAAAATCAAAGATTTAGATTCACAAGAACCTTACAGCTTCACAAAAATCCACTGAAATTTTATTCTCAAAATTTCAGTTTCACAAGAATTCAAATTTGCAAGATTTCAAGATTCACATTTGCAAATTGCAAGACTCGCATCCAACATTTAAAGATTCTCATTTGAATTTTGAAAATTCACATCCAAAAGTTTAAATCTTCTCATTTGAGTTCAAAAGTTCACATTTGACAAATTTGGGGTTTCACACCTCAAAATTTAAAGCTTTTTATTCAAATTTCGGAGATTCACATCCAAAGGTTCAAAGCTTCTCATTGAGTTCAAAGTTTTACATGCAATAAATTCTAGGGTTTCATATCTCAAAGATTCTCATTTGAGGGTTTCTTAAAAACTTCATCCAAAGATCCAAAAATTTTTTTTCAAATAACTTTCAAACTTTTACCAAAGTCAAAATTTTGTATGCAATGAATATCATGATCAATGATGCAAATGCTTTCTTAACAATGCAAATGCAACAATCTAGATCCTCATAATACTACATTCTCAACCATGATTCAAATGCAAATGCATAACTAAACCAAAGTTTCAAATATTCTCCAAACAACAATGCTGACATAATGCATGTAATGCAGATGTCCATGTCATGAAATTCTAATGTGCTGACATGGTTCTCAAGACCTTACCATCTTACATTTTTTTTTATAGCTCCTCAGCATTTTGGAACAAGTTTCATCAACTGATCTTCATTATTTTTATCATTTGATCACCATTCATAGGCTATTCAACACTAGCAATTTCAGAATAAATTCTATCAATTGATCCACATTATGTTCATTACTCGATTATCACTCACAGGCTTTTCAACACTAGCCATTCCAAAATGAATTTTGTCCACTGTCACTAGGTTATCAATCATAGGTTTCTCAACACAAACCATTTCAGAACAAATTTCGTCCACTAATTCACATTATTTTCATCATTCGATTACAACTCACAAGTTATGTCGATCAATTCATCCTCATATTCATCACTTGGTCATATCATCTTTTCAAATTTTATCCTCTTTTCATCAGCAGATTCATCATTTGGTCATACCATGCATCCTTTCAAATTATCTTTTTAGGTTTCTGCACTTTCTTCATTTTTTCCCTTATCATCTTAGATTTCTTTTCAAAGGAATGTAAGCTTTTTTTATGCACATTGTCATTCATTCATTATCATTTCAAATTATGACAAATATAATATAATCATACATTTCCTCGATGTATTCTGAGGGCACAATAGTAAGAGAGCACAAGGTGAATTAGAAAAAAAATAATTAATGAGGAATGAGTTTGGTACAAAAACAATTAGGCAAAGGATCAAATTCAAAGCATGTCCTTGGGAATGGTATTGAATAAATGGAGTAACAATATCCAAATAATGAATACTCAAACAATTCTTAACATTAATCCAGAATTCTTTTTCAAAAACCCATTCCATTGACTTTTCAAAATCACATTGAGCTCATTAAACTTTGCCCCTGCTTTGAGGGATCTTTAAATGTCTTTATCCTTCCATACATGTGAACTGTCTATCCAACTCTCAACTCAAAATTTTTCTACCTAAATTGCCCTTTTGGGCTTTCAATTTGAGTATTCATTTTTATCTTTTTTCCATCATTTCATTTTTTTCTTTTTCATTTTTTTTCTTTCTTGTTTTCTTTTTTTTTCATTTTTTTATTTTTTTCATCTTTTCTCATCTATTAGTGGTATCTTTCACACTTCAATCTCTAAAGCAATGTAGCACGATTCCATTGTTCTATTATGAGCATACCTTAAT